TGTACCATATTGTGTGTACCATATTATAAGCCAACCTGCTCTTCTAGATGTGGGTAATCGATATCAAACATTACAAAACCCATAATAGTCAGCGGTGAGAATGATAAAATTAGCCAACATATTTAATAGCTAACATTAATGCTAATAGTTTCGAGACAAAATTCAGCCTGGACCTGCTGATTAGACGAACGCAACCACGGCTGTTGGATTACGTTTGATCGGAGCAGAGTGCGAAAGCGCTTTTGTTTATTTTACGAAATGGATCCAGAGGTCAGTGATACTGAAAGCTCTTCAAACACACAGAATAAAAGCAGCACAAGAAATACAAGCTCTTAAATTAGGGCCTATTTCAAATCTTGGCACTTTAATCAATCAGCCACCTTCATTTAGCAAAACAGGAGCAAATTTTATAATTAATTTAAGCAAAAGCAGCATATCTGCAATATAAAATGTGTCAATTTCTATCAACATCAAGAATAGACACAAAGCCTCGGCGTTAAAACCGTTGTACTTCAAAGCCCTGCGTCTGCACACGAAAAAAGGAGCTCGGCAAAATAAAAATGGCATCCAGTTTGAACGTGAAGCGGGGAGAGAGGTCTCTCACGGGAATGGTTCAGATCACAAAGGCCAACGTCTAATGGGTAGGAGAGTGAGTCACACGCCTGTTTCTGTCTCGCGCTTTTCCCTTTCTCTCCCTCCCTCTCTCTCTCTCTCTCTCTCTCTCTCTCTCATGCAACCAGCTCCCGCTCGCGCGAGCTTCATGGCAACACGTCTGCTCTAACCGTCCGGCGTTCAGTGGATGAACTCGACAGAAACGCTGCAGCGCACCGGTGTCATCTGTGCAAATGAAAGCAAAACTAGGACACGACTGTAAACAGAGCAGCGAAATGTGCAGAGACACAGTTGGTGCACTTCTGATTTCTTGCAGACAGACATGCTAACGTTGGGTAGTTCACGTATAACGTCTCCATTGGCTTTTTTAATGTTGCAATTTTAGGTTAAATGTAATACGGGAAAAAATAAAGTATCAGCATTATTTAAAATAGTTTTAGCATGACATTATAAACTTCCTAAGGCTTTCATGTCAACGCAGAGACATTTCTAGATAAAATTATCTGGCTGAAAATGCACACTCAAATGCACTAGAGATTTCAGGTCGGAAATGATTGTACTGTATAGATATACTGGTACACACGATTAACATTAACCAGTGGAAATTTGTCAACCGGTGGATATTGTGGACTACCGTCTCTATCGCAGTAAAGTTGTTTTGCTGTGCGATCACGAAGAGTGAAAAACAAGTGATTTCAAACCGTTGAAGCGCCGAGAAAGACATTTCGCGACTATATGCAGGGCGAGTGAGAACTGAATCGAGTCATTTCAGTCATTTATTATGTCTTAAGTGAATGTCGATAGATAGGGCTAGATTTGTATTTGTCTAGTTTCCACCGTAGATGTGTACATAACACAAACACACATAACAAGTTAAATTATCAATATATTATAACACCATCAAAAATAGTTGCTGACATCCCCAAAAAACATCAACAAGAGAGCATACATGACATATCAATGGCCGATTTCCTATGCATTTAGAGCTTGTATAGATACAAGAACAAAACTGGCCTTTCTACACATTGTTTAAGATTTTTTGTGCCTTTCACAACAACATATGAATGTAAATAGTCAAGAAAAAAAGGCACAAGTATATTAGATCCGTGCATGCGGTTTTAAAGTGACAGCAACCTAATAAACCTGCTGTCATCTGTGTCTCATTAATATTGATAAAACAACAAAAGAGAAACAAATCTCTCACTGCTCTTGAAAGAATCACTTGAAGGAATAAATATATTTTAATACAAGTATTTTTTATGATATTGAAAATGGTTACAAGAATTAAATTTCAAATGGTATCCAATTTTGATTTCACAAAAACCTTATTTAAAGCAAAAAATTTGTCAACCGGTGGATATTGTGGACTACCGCCTCTATCGCAGTAAAGTTGCTTTGCTGTGCGATCACGAAGACTCAGCTTTTACGACATGCTGTTTAAAAACAAGTGATTTTTTTAAAACCGTTGAAGCGAAGAGAAAGACATTTTGCGTATAGTGATATATATATATATATATTGTTATAATGAATTTAATTTGCTCATGTTGTAATATAAGATTTTGGACATATCGCCCTCCCCTAGTACTGTACTATTACGTTTTTTTTTTTGTTCTTTGTTTTTCAAATCCGAGAAATAAACTTTAACATGCTAATTAAAATACAAAAACAATGTTTTAAATAACACAACTGCTGGCTTGAACAATATGGATTATTTAATGGCCAATAATACCAATATCAACAGTGGGAAGGTGGCTGATAATATAGTGCTGATTTCTAACTACTAATAAAATTCGATATATTTTATGATCATTTATGGGACGTAGACAAAATTAGATTTTAGTAAATTTTAGTAACATTACTCTAAATTCATGTTGACAGGAATACGTCATTTGAAACTGACATGTGGGAAATAGTTATATAGTTATCAATCACTGAAAATAATATCAAAATGGACAAATATTGGTTAATGGTCTGGCTCTATTAATAAAAACAATACACTCATAATACATTTAGAACAGCAAATGCATATTCTTTGTTTTGACTTTGTTTGCTGTAAATCAATGCATGTATGAATGTTATGTTAAACACATTGTGAACACTTGGATATTATTTACTGGCTGACATAAAATGTTGCATGAATGGTATTAAGAGGAGAAGAGAGGTGTGGCTGCTGTGATATAACAATGAATATATATATATATATTCACTTTTAGGCCCAAATGAGAAAAAAGAATGCGTGTCACAGGAAAAACATCTGCCTCTTCGGGGTTACGTTTATTATTTCAAACTTTTAAGACAATTTGATTGTCTCTCTCAATCTGTGTCGCTTTCCATCTGACAAATGCACTTTGTTATTTTGCTGTGATACGTGCGAGCGTTGCCTTGACAGTCGCTGCAAATTCCCACCGCATCAGCACCACCACGGATCGTTTATCAAACGTAAACACGCCATATAACTATAAAACAAGCATTTGGGAGGCTAAGTAGCCCTGAAACAACCTCAGCTAACAGAAACGAGTCTGTTATTGTTCGTCATAACGCCGTTGAATTGCACAGATTCTCACACACAGGGGCCTTTCGTGCGAGTGGCCCCCGTGACTTTAAAAAAGGGTCAATGGAAAAACAGCAGGAATCACAGGCTCTCCTTGGACGGTGGCCCAGCTGGGGAAAACTCGGATGTTTGAGTAATAATCCCTAATATGTCATTCTGAAAGTGTGTGAGTGCAGAACAAGACGAAGCGAGTGGGCGTAAACATCTGATCTAGATTCCATACTAAAATGAATATCAAATCTGTCCTCCCACAAAATAAGAATCAAACCAAAACCAAAAATGCTTAAATCATTATATAACCCACAACAATAATATGTTTAGTTAAAATGTAGAAAAATCTGAGTAGTAAAGTGTCATTTTTTAAAAGATTAGCCATAATTACATAAACCAGATTTCAATCACACTAGACCGTATAGATTTAAAGACCTAAAATATAACAACTAACACAGCTAAAGTTACCTGGTTTCAGATAGCGGTGTAACGATACCCTCATGTCATGATTCGATACTTAACTCTCACGATACGATATTATTGCGATACTCCAAGACATGTGGCGTAATGTACAGTTGATTAAAATGCTAAATTTGATATTACATTGTGGGTTTAAATGAATAGGCTTGGACTTGGGGCTTGTAACCCAAGGACACCAGAATAAACATATTCATGATTCTGAAGCTGAAAATACTGAATTATTTTAGATGAATATGCTTGCTAGTTAAAATCAGACACTTTTTACTGGTAACATCAGACATTTGGCATTATCAGGACCCACATTGCATTATTATAAATTATATTCAACATTATATATAGTAGTTTAATGTAGAACTGACACTAAAACTAGATTTTTTTCTCACACAGTAATTTTTATTTTGGGGGGACTATCCACGATACGTATTGTTGCATTTTTGTATTGCACCCCTACTTTCAGATTTAATACCCACCCTGTAATCAAAAACATATATTATAGAATATTACTGTATATTGCACATTGTGTGCATGTATATATGTGTGTGTATATATATATACTAGTGTGCTCGTAGTAAACAATGTAGTACCGTGTTATGTCATCACAAAAATCTCCATGAAAGACACTACGAACTGCACCTGCATATGACATGCTTCTGTCTGTCGCTGCACAGCTGAAGACGCCTCGTACGTCCTTTAGACAAAAGGTTTCTGTGCGAAGGACGGTCACCAAATAAAGCTTTGTGCAAACCACACACACACACACACCAGAGCTGCATGGATGCATACAATATTTCATGCACGTCGCAGCTGCAACCGCGCTCAATATACCAAACGCCAAGAGAAAATATTATACAAATATATTTACATACATGCCATGCATTTATGTCAGACATGCTCCTGTCATTTATTATAAAGAGGACAAAAATGGGTGGTGGAAAATAATGCAAATTACAATAAATGCAATGCGTTCTAGCTGACTGTCTGCCATTAAGATCCAACTTAAATTGGTTTATTATGAAAACTACAGCATACAGTGTCACGTTGCGGTCTGCGCCACCCCTCTCACGCACAGACAATGAGCCCGCAGTGGGTTTATGAGACATGCGGGCCCCTCCGCGTATAACGCGCACCGCACGCGCCTGTCACTGACGCACGCGCGCGGAACACTAGCAACGCTATCGAACACAAACCTGCTACCAATACTTAATAGCAAAACTCATTTTAAAACCCTACACACACCGCTCTATTGTTGTTCTGCTACTCAAGACTGGTTGGTTAAGCTTCTCCGTAGCAAAACTAAATGCGTTTTCCTCCTTCATAGTCGGAACCCGCGACAAAAAAAGAAAAACAAGCGAAACTTTCTGCTTACCGCCTTTGGCTTCCTCTTCGTCATTCACCTACGAGCAGAAGACACAACCTCGACGATTTTAAGAAAAATAAATGTGTGTATCGGAGGGTAAAAACTGAACATTAACCCTACGGCTGTGTGACGTCTCTCAGTGCTGCTTTTGAAAACATCGCCGTCAGCCCGTCTCTAAGAAAAGCCCCAGCGAAAAAACACGGAAAGCTGCGATCTCATTGGGGGACGAGGGCTCACGTGATCCAGGGCGCTCAAAAACGTTCTGCGCATGCTCACACTCGCTCTGCTGCTAGGCTGTGACTTGCATACGCTGATATTTTTGCTGTTGAATATATCTCTCGTACTGTTCTATTCATGTTTGTATGTTTATTTTAATATTATGTTATTGTTATTATTTAATTATACAATGCTTTCTTATTTATATTTTTTTAATTAAATAGCTTTTGGCTGAAATGTCCAAATTACAAAAGGGTTGCCGGGTTGTTTCAACACATGTTTGGTTTAAATACGGACAAACCCAACAATTAGGTTTACAATTTATTCTTAATTAAACCAACGGTTGGGTTCATCTACATTTGACCCAAACATGTGTTGAAACAACCCAGCAATTTTTAGTGTTTTATATGTTCTTTTGATTTTTATTAGTTATTTAATGTATTATGTCTTCTTGCAATAATATACAAATGCCTAAAATACATAATGCCCGGATAGAATATAGAAATACAATTGTAGGCGGAGCTGAACTGCAAAGAATATGTCCTGTGGTGTTTATATTTATTAACGTGTGTGCGTAGTCTTTCTATATTATTTTGTTTTATGGTTTTAGTTTGGATTGTGTGAGATTGTTTTGTGCCTATAATAAAATAATACTTGTTTTTATTTAATCAAATGTATTAACATTTCGTGCGTTATTTCCTATATTCGTATTGTGGGTTTATAGTTTGTATTATGCTAAATGTTTTTTTTTTATGTTTATAACAATAGTAATAATAATAATAATAATATTTAGAAAATGTCCATGCACTTTTTTAATATGACAAATTGCTCCACTCTTCCACTCTTTAGACATCTGTTGTTTTTTTTTTGTTGTTGTTTTTTAATTGTTATAAGTGAAATTCATCCACTCTCCGTACATCTCATAAATTAATTTGTGTGTGAGAGTTTAACGTTATATTATTATGGGATGGGGAGGGGGGTGACGTTGCGGACTGTGACGTCACCCTTTCCGTGCGACGCTGCAGCGCTCGCGAATGTTCTGGAACCTTCATCATGTCGGAGAGGCGCGAGGAGAAAGAGGAGAAGGTATTTGTCGGGCCTGATCCATTGTGGAGTCATTAATTCTGTTGTTACGAGAGCTTAAATTGTGTTTGATTGTAGTTTCGCTATTTTAGAATGACGTTTTTTGTCGCGCATTCGAGGGTTGTTATTGTTGTGGCGCAGTTGGTTATTTATATGATGTAGGAAAAAGGGAGTTCGCGCATGCGCATGGGATGGGCTGGTATTATGTTGCAGAACGAGCTCGAATCACAAGGGAGAACCGTGTGTGTGAGTCTGTGTGTGTTAGGGGGATGGGCGCTGGCTACACAAACACACACACACACACACACACACACACGTGCATGCACAGACCAGTTAGTTACATGAAATGCGACCATGTTGTTGCGGTCTGAAGAAGTGATCATAACATGAAGACATATGCGTGGTTAACATATGAAACAGCCTTGTTGTGTAGAACTGGGTTATAGTTTAAACCCTAACAACGAAGCCTGTAAAGTGTTATGGTAGTACCATTTGTTCTATTGCATAAGCATAAAAGTTAACATCTGGAGGAAATGAAGAAAAAAAAGCTAAAACCAGCCTAAGCTGGTTGGTCTTCAGCTTGGTCATTTCTGTTTTTCTTTTTTCAACATGGACTATTAACATGTAAAACTGTTTGGGCCACTGCATATATGTGTGTGTGTGTGTGTGTGTATGCATGTCTTTTTTTAACCAACCTATACCCTGTTTTATGTTTCTTTATTTATTTTATGATGTAATATTCTTGTAATATTCTCTTCTGGTTGTAAGAAATCTAGTGACCTTCCTAGGGAAAGGTAAAAAAATAAAATACCATGGAGTACTGATAGACCTTTTAAGCAAGCAGCCATTAATATGTTTCCATTTAATATTGGCATGGACAATAACTATACCTGATTGGCCAAAAACATCGAGTAAATAACAGCAATTGTGTGTGCATCTTATTTACTATCATTAAACTGCATTGTATATCAGCACTATTTCGAACACACTGCTACCTGGATACAGTTCTGCTAACTACTGTAAATGCAGTGGTATATGACTATGGCAGTCATGTACTATGGTATATAGTATATATATTCACACTACCATAGTATTGCTATTGTATGGTAACAGTAAGGTTTTGTAAATAAAGACTGTATGATGCATAATGCTTGCTCTTTTGATGTGGCTTGTTTATAAATGCTATACTGTACATCACTGTCAGTGAGGTTATGTTTTATGGATGGGTTTTTGTATCAAATAAATGCAAGGAATACCAAAATCTATGTGCTTTACTTTTATGTGTTGTTCGAGAATATTAGGGATGGGAACCATGTTTAAATGCACACAAATATTTCTATATTAATTAGAACTTGGTCACATTATTTAGATTAGTATTAATATTCCATAACCCTATTAAATATACTCCAGTTCCAAGAAATCTGTAGCATATGCCTCTTCTAATCAGGATTCGTAATGATCTCATTTGGAAAACAATTGTAGCATAATGGATGAATTAGGGATGAACGATATATCGGCCACCATATCGGTATCGGCCAATATTTGTTTATTTGTATTTTATAGTTATCGGCCCGATAATAAAATTTGGCTGATATATTAAAGTTGATAAATAACTGATCAACACTTGAGACACTTAAGATGTGCACTGTTCAACATTATTGATCTTAATTGCTTGAAATATGATTGGAATCAAACAGAAAAAATATAATTAAGTGCAAAATGTGCTGTCATATCGGCTACATGAATTTATAATGAGAACATTATAATTGTGTGATTGGGACATGGATTTTAAATGTTAAACTTTTGTTTTTGCAATCAGGCTCTGAAAAATTATATAAAAAATGGTGGATTTAGATTTATTAGATTTTAAGAATGGATTTAGATTTATCGGCCGATATATCGGTTATCGGCTTTCAAATATAAAGAATTTGAAAGGCTGATATATCGGTTATCGGCTATAAAGAATATAAAGATTTGAAAGGCTGATATGTCGGTTATCGGCTATAAAGAATTTAAAGAATTTGAAAGGGCGATATATCGGTTTTCGGCTATAAAGAATATAAGGAATTTGAAAGGCCGATATATTGGTTATTGGCTTTCAAATATAAAAAATTTGAAAGGCCGAAATATCGGTTATCGGCTATAAAGAATATGAAAAGCCGATATATCGTTATCGGCTATAAAGAATATAAAGAATTTGAAAGGCCGATATATCGGTTATCGGCTATAGAGAATATAAAGAATTTGAAAGGCCGATATATCGGTTATCGTCTATAGAGAATATAAAGAATTTGAAAGGCGGATATATCGGTTATCGGCTATAGAGAATATAAAGAATTTGAAAGGCCGATAAATCGGTTACCGGCTATAAAGAATATAAAGAATTTGAAAAGCCGATATATCGCTATCGGCTATAGAGAATATAAAGAATTTGAAAGGCGGATATGTCGGTTATCGGCTATAGAGAATATAAAGAATTTGAAAGGCCGATAAATCGGTTATCGGCTATAAAGAATATAAAGAATTTGAAAGGCCGATAAATCGGTTATCGGCTATAAAGAATATAAAGAATTTGAAAGGCCGATATATCGGTTTTCGGCTATAAAGAATATAAAGAATTTGAAAAGCCGATATATCATTATCGGCTATAGAGAATATAAAGAATTTGAAAGGCCGATATATCGGTTATCGGCTATAGAGAATATAAAGAATTTGAAAGGCCGATAAATCGGTTATCGGCTATAAAGAATTTGAAAGGCCGATATATCGGTTTTCGGCTATAAAGAATATAAAGAATTTGAAAGGCCGATATATCGGTTATCGGCTTTCAAATATAAAGAATTTGAAAAGCCGAAATATCGGTTATCGGCTATAAAGAATATAAAGAATTTGAAAGGCCGATATATCGGTGATTTGAAAGGCCGAAATATCGGTTATCGGCTATAGAGAATATAAAGAATTTGAAAGGCCGATATATCGGTTATCGGCTTTCAAATATAAAGAATTTGAAAGGCCAGAATATCGGTTATCAGCTATAAAGAATATGAAAGGCCGATATATCGGTTATCGGTCTCGGCCAAAATGTTTACATCGGTGCATCCCTAAATGGAATATTTATTATTATTACTATCTACACATGTTAAATTAAGTAATTTTTTGATTCTGCATGATATTATCGGCCATTGTAAAATATCAAGCAACACTAGAGATATAAAATAAATAAATTATTAGATTGGTGGATTGATATATCGGCCGATAAATCGCTTGTGCGTTGCCATCACTGACATAAAGTGGTGAAATTACTGTACATAATTACTAAAAATGCAGAGTAAAAACTGGCAAAAGCATCTCCAGTATTTACAACACAATTGCAGACGTACGTCTTTGTTTGTTTGGAATATGCTATTGTGTATTCAGGAATATGTCTTAAACTGTGGAGCATTCGGGAATAAATGTTTAACCCAAGTAAATAAATACATTTGAAAATACTGTGGACTTATTTGTATGTTAAAATATTGTAATGTGCATGCTTTGTATTCTCCAACACCTTTGCACAGGTCAGAACATTAATTTACTCATCATTTTAAAATAACCACACTGGACTACTGAATATAATTAATGATAATATTTTATTTACATACACAACATCTCTGAGGTTTACATTGGCTCCAGACCGCGGAGGTCCGGTTACAGGTCGGCTCTCACGCCAAAGCCCGGTCCAGGAGGAGGCTCTGTCAGTGAGGTTAAACCTCCGGCAGGTTCACATGAAAAACGCCCACTCCTGATGGAAGAGAGATCGTTACAATCAATTAAAACACTCTTAGGGTGTGAATCCAACTGACTCATTAACCACACGTCACATAGTGTGCTTATTTAATTAGACTCGTT